AACAGTCAGCGGACACTGTGGCCCAAAGAAAAGATATAGAAAGAAAGAACTTTATTTCACACGCTGAAAACAAATAGTATGTACAGATTAGTATGTTTACGTTTCAAAAGTACCAAATTATGGTTTAATTGAAATAAATGCTTTTAAGTTTGAATTTGAGTTTGAAGTGTTAGTTTGTAAATACTAATGGGCACACGTTCATGTCCCAAGTCTGCGATGAAATGGGACCAGTTCAGCATGTGCAAAACAGGGTTTTGCTTTGGTATTCTACTGGCCCCTTAAATGACTTAGGTGATGCGTTGTGGAACAACCTTTAACTGCGCCTTGCGCTATCGATTCCTTCATTCAATGGAGGTTCTTTCTCACAAAAAATATTAAGGATATATGTTACAAGACTGTCAGAGATATTATTCACTGGACCTAACTCTGGGAAGACTTCCACTACCATAGCACAATTAACCTAACCAACAAACTATTGACATTTCATTATATAATAAAATCATTGTTTACCATGATTCAAGACACCTTGCTTACAGCTGATTACATTCAGGTTACTTAGCAACGGAAAACATCCATACAGAAAGCACATAGTACATAATTATGTACACAATATAATTAGATGAAAGATGTGTCATACGATAACAAATATTTGTTCAGTAAATATTTATCTTAAACGAGGTTCTGTCAACAAATATCAATAAAAGTTGTTTTATTAAAAGGAAATTATGTAACAACAAATTTAGTTTTCACTAAGTAGTATTACGTATAATCGTATCGTCCCTTATAGTACTTGAATGTTAGTTTTATTTGTATTCATTTACTTAGAGGTCGGTACTCACATTATGTCAGTTTATCACCCACCATGCCTTCCCCCTGGACAAAATTAAAATACATTTAAAAGCTATTCGAGTGAGTCAATGGAAAAGTTAATGCACGACATAAAAATATTATAATGTAAAAATATTTTCTTGTCTTGAATTCTACATTGAATATGGCTGTAATATTCAATGTAGAATTAATAACTTTTATAGCATGCAAGATTACCAAATTCAATCTGTAATTCTGTAGTTGCAGCAATACTATGTGATCACGCGTGCAAATGCCTTGTTAATCAAAATTATTCCTTAATATCGTGGCTGTGTATAATATTACAAAATCATACGTATACGCATTTTTTCCAATTTCTATCTATTCTCATTAATTTATATCAATGTGTTACGTCGAACGATGTGGCCACAGCGCTCGATGGGCTAAGGCAGACGGGCCAGGAACGTGATCGAGTGGAGACCACGAACCGGAAAACAAAGCGTGGGCAGGCCTACCACTTGGTGGACCAACGGCATCGCTAGAGCCGCGGAGAGCTAGTGGATGCAGGTGGCGAGTTGTCGTTCGATGAGGAGGATGGATGACTAGGGGACATTTAGACAGAGGCCTCTGTCCAGCAGTGGACGTATTCCTGTTGTTGATGATGATTTTAATGGTGACAATAGACTAAAATTTCTTTGACTGTACCATAACATAACATAACGCCTTTTATCCCCGAAGAGGTAGGCAGAGGTGCACATTAAGCCACTGTACAATGTAACACCCACTTTTTCACTATTTATGTTATGAGTCCCATGTAATAGGGAGTGAGCCTATTGTCATATACCGGGCCCAATCCAGACTCCGTGCTACTACTGAGTTTTTTTTTTAAAAACCCAGTAATATTTTGCGCGACCTGGGAATCAAACCCGAGACCCCAGGCCCTGCAGTCGCACTTGCGACCACTCGGCCAACGAGGCTGTTGTTGACTGTGTATAGCGACTAAAGACCTACACATTTGGATAAAAACGAAACAGCATCACTCTTTGATAATCCTGAATCCTAGCCAACGATAAGCGTGAAAACCTTTATAACATAATTCATTTATTGGCATCTAATCAAATAACGGGATAGTTAAAATTTGTTGCATACACCATGCGAACTGCAACACCGCCTGCGCTCTGCTTCGCCTATTTATTTCAATGATTTACATTATTTTCTCAGATAACTCATTGATTGAGTTTAGTCACAAAAGTTTTCGAAACTCAAGTTAGACATAACAACATAACATAACATCACGCCTTTTATCCCCGAAGGGGTAGGCAGAGGTGCACATAGAAGTAACACCCACTTTTCACTATTTATGTTATGAGTCCCATGTAATAGGGGGTGAGCCTATTGCCATATACCGGGCACATTTCCAGACTCCGTGCTACTACTGAGATTTTTAAAAAACCCCAGTAATACTTTGCCCGACCCGGGAATCGAACCCGAGACCCCTTGCCCGGCAGTCGCACTTGCGACCACTTGGCCAATGAGGCAGTCTAGTCAAGTTAGACCAAATAATTATATTATCATTATCACTTAATATTGTTACAATTCTCAATTGGACTCGAGACAGAGATTGGTTTTTAATTCCAAAACTCAACGTCAACTGATTTTCAAAATATATTTCCATTGGAATTTCGTTTACAATAACATCAAGCACAGAATCCCATGAATGATTTAAAAGTAGTCTAAATAATGGCCGACATTGTTTGTATCTGTGTCTAGTCTGATTGTTACGTCTAACCCTTTAATCAAACACGTTATAAAACAATAAGTTCGTTTTTCTATGGGACTACGACATAACATAAATTGAAATTGGATGTTTACATAACACGTCATAACTTCACAACTGTTAATCCTCGAAGGGGTAGGCAGAGGTGCACTTTATGCCACTGTACAATGTAACACCCACTTTTCACTATTTATGTTATGAGTCCCATGTAATAGAGGATGATCCTATTGCCATATACCGGGCACAATTCCAGACTCTGAGAATTGACTGAGAATTTTTTTTAAAAACCCAGCAGTACTTTGCCCTACCCGGGAATCGAACCCGAGACCTCTCGCCCGGCAGTCGCACTTACGACTAGTCAGCCAACGAGGCAGTCAACAGCAGGTGAATATAATACAATGTAAAATCCTCTTTAGACCAAATTGAGGAGTCTGTATACTTCATCAACATTATGATCTTAAACTTAGATCTTAGAGGTATTTTAATCCTCCCAAAATTTCAGAAATTGTACAGAACCTTTCTCAAGAACTATCTTAATCAATCAAGTCACAAATTATACTTCATTACTGTTGAAATCATAAATATAAGTTTACGCAAATGATAACATGTAACAGACAGACACTTGTTTGGTATAAAGTAATTATTTACCATCATATTATCATAATTGCCAAACGTAAGGCTATAGGCAGACTTCGAAATTTTATGTGAAACGATTTTAAAATGTCTGATTTCTATTTCATCATCATCATCATCAAGAACCTTTTCATTCTCTGCTAAAAGTAAGCCTCTGCTGTAGGCAAGTAAGCTCGATCTTTCCCTCTCCGCATCCAGCCACTGCCAGCCATTTCGCAGCTATAGTTAATTCGTCGCTGACTGGAGAGCTCTTTACACTACATTTGCCTAAACTTGGTCTCCACTCTATAAGACTTTTTTTAAGGGGGAGAAAGTCATCGAATGTCTTCTCCCGCCTGGGTGAGGCGGGAGGCAGTGTCAGACTCTTACTGACTAAAACCACCCCGTTCCTTCTCATGCACTTCAAGCCGGAGCTCCGGTAACCTGTTAGGTCCTCCGCGGCTCCGTATCGGCAACAGCCCTATTGGGCCCTATGCGTGGTGGTCTAATGGTTCTTTGAGGCGCGCGCGAAACGCCGTACGCTCGGGTCGGTTCTGGTCGGGCGGCAAGCCACCCAGGCCCGCGCTTACGGTGGCCTGAGATCGTACTCTATAACACTATTAATTGCAATAACTACAAAAAGGTCGACTCAACTTGATTAAAATGGTCCATGGTACGTTTGATAGTTGCTAAAAGCATACTTTTAGTAATTGTTAACCATACCACGGAGCCTTTTTTTGAGGGGGGAAAATCATCCAATGACTTCTCCCGCTCGGGTGAGGCGAGAGGGAGTGTCAGACTCTTACTGACTAAAAACCACCCCGTTCCTACACCTGCACTTCGAGCCGGAGCCCCAGTAACCCGTTAAGTCTTCCACCACGGAGCCTGAAGATGCAAAAAAGGATAAATTACTTTATGTTGCATAGTTTTCTACGTCACACAGCCATAAGGAGTCCACTGCTGAACATAGGCCTCCCTAGCAACTTCCACATCAACACGCATCTAAGCAGAAAATTAGGCATACGTATCGAAAAGCAAGTACATCGATTATCACAGTTTTCCTAACTGTAAGATTTTGGTTTTCATCAATGTTTATCAGAACTACACTATTTTAAGGCACTGTTTGATCGCCAAGATGCATTCAGTGACGTCTTCAAGTCAATACGTCTCTTATACTATAAACTACTATGTATATCTATCACCTATTATAATAGACAACAATTATAGACGATTAGCTACAATTATATTTGTTCTATTCTATACAATCTGAGTCTCTTGCAATGGATATCTCCACTTTCATTTTGTTTACTTTTTAACGACATTGTGACGTCATTAGTACTGCATACTGTAGTTCATACTGACTTTGTCTGGATTCTTAAAAACACTAAGTATGATTCTTTAGTGATTTTAAGAGATAAATTATCCAGGGGTATTAGAACTGTGGTTCTGTTATCATAGTTCTAAGAAAAAGGAAAAAATTAACAACAAACACACATAAAGGGCTACCATAACGAAGTATAAACCAAAAATAAACAGGTAAAGTCAAAAATAAAATCTAGTTATATCGCCAAACACACAATTATACCCAAGAAGCTGTTAGCAAAGATATAAGCCGCTCACATATTTGTTGAACACACAGCACAAATCCTTAGCAAACTATCTGATATATAATATATACAACATTATCATTTCATGTTACCTCATTCCTCTAAGAATGGTCCACCAGTATACTCATACTATCTACCGACAATTAGATATTCGGTTCATCAAGATAGTTATTATTTAAATTTAAAAAAAAGTTAAAATGGTGACGGCGAAGGGTGACGCGGAAGCCACGGTGACCAGGGAGGAGATCCCCCATGACCATCTCTTCAAGGTCACCGGTTTATCTTCCACAAATTTGGAGAAAATGGCTCAAGGTACGTTCTTTGTGATATCTTTAGATTGTATGACGTCATAGTGAAGTGATTTAATTATTGTTGCTGTAAACATATTTTGTCTTGAAGTTAAGAAGTTTGTTTTTGTTTAAACGCGCTTATCTCTTGGATTAACGTTGTATAATCTAAATATATTATTCATAACAGAAAGTTTAAGTTTCGGAGATAAATGTCATATTAATATTGCTTTGCAACCGTTTATGGAAAATTTTGTTGCGCCATATTGAATTTTACTTATACATTTTTCGTTCAAGACAGTCCTCCTAAAATGATCCGAGCTTAATAAACAAAGGAAGTCTTATAATCTTCAGTAGCAAAAATGGCTTACACATGGATATAATACTTAATCTTTCCGTGTCGTAATCTTTGTCTATTCTTTCAATGTGTGTGTAATTCATTGAATTTCTCCTAAACGGCTGAAACGATTTTGATGGTAATATTTCAGTGTGGTTGATCGAATCCTGGGAAAACTTGATGTCATAACTCATTGATTCCTTTATTAGCGGTTTAATTGGTTTCAGTATTGGACATTTTCTACTCTTTTGGAATATTTAGAAAATGAATCCATTTTATTCTGCAGTTTTACTATCATTACTTATTTTAAAGACCCACCTTCGCCAATCGGAAACTAATTAGCAAAAGACCTTGAACACCTGAAATGGGGACATAAATAGAGTAATAATATATTAAAATGAACGAACAGTAATAAAGCTGAAGTGAGTGACATTTATTGGTTGAAGGTAAAGAGTTAGTTCTTGCTGGCTCCTGTCCAAGATCTCGAAGTTATTACCAGATGAGACCGAGACGATTTTGTTGTGATCGTCGCGGTTATCTGCATAAATGTATATTACTGAAATACTGAGAAATATTTTGTTTTGTATATTTGGTTGAGACTGATTCTGTTACTTACATTTGGTTGGGATTGGTATATTGGCTAATGCTAATGGGATTGCAGTCTGTTGTTCTGCTGATTGTAATTTGACTGCCTCGTTGGCCGAGTGGTCGCAAGTGCGACTGCCGAGCAAGAGGTCTCGGGTTCGATTCCCGGGCCGGGCAAAGTATTACTGGGTTTTTAAAAAAAAATCTCAGTAGTAGCACGGAGTCTGGAATTGTGCCCGGTATATGGCAATAGGCTCACCCCCTATAACATGGGATTCATAACATAAATAGTGAAAAGTGGGTGTTACATTGTACAGTGGTATAATGTGCACCTCTGCTTACACCTTCAGGGATAAAAGGCGTGATTTTATGTTATGTGTCAATTAATTTAAGACCTGCTATTTAGTACCAATATTGTGTTTAGTTTTTATGGTCAGTCTAATAAAGAATCAACGACCAAACTAACAAGAAACTTAGTATGACCTATAACGCAAAGATTTAACTGATTCGAGAGGATATGGAGTCAAACAAAATAGTAATCGAAAAGTTAGTGATATTAATCAAAACTTTTAAGAAGATATATCCTCGATACCGGAGTACCCTGTTTTAGAATCGTTATAAACACTGTATTTCTATATGTGTTCGATCCAATAAAAAAAAAGATAGAAGAACTTTAGGTAAGTAACATCAGACTTTTTCTGACTCAAAACCGACAAAAACCTCATTTAACGCCAACTTCTGTCCTTACAGAACCTGAACCAAAAGATTTTGAAGAAGCGATAGCAGCAGCAGGGTATGGCAAGTTCAACATTGCGCTAATGCTGATCTCCATCCCAGCGTTCTGGAGCTCTGTGTCCGTGACCAGCTCCATCAGCTACATATTCACGAGAGCACAGTGTGACATGGGACTCAGTCTCCTGGATATGGGGACTATCACCGCTATGACTTATGGGGGTAAGTTGAAAAGGGGGGAAATATGAATATCTAGCTTCTGTCCGCGGTTTTGCCCGTGTTATCAACAAATATTAATCTGTCAAATACCAAGCGGTCACCGGTGACCGCGGCCTATTGTTCTTTAATTGTGTCTATAAAACCGGTACTCGACGAGTTAAATGTAATTTCACATTAAAAAGTTCACATTCAAAATATTAGAAATTATCCCAAGTTATGACTGCCGAGTGGTCGCAAGTGCGACTGCCGGACAAAGGGTTTCGGGTTCGATTTCCGGGTCGGGCAAAGTATTACTGGTACTTAAAAATTCTCAGTGGTAGCACGTAATCTGGAATTGTATATGGTAATAGGCCAACCCCCTATTACATGGGACTCATAACATAAATAGTGAAAAATGGGTGTTACATTGTACTGTGGCATCAAATGCTGTAATGGACACCTCCACGCCTACTCCTTCGGGGATAAAAAGGCGTGATGTTATGTTATGTATTTCAAGTCTTGCAGCAATATTCACGGTAGGGCTCTGGCCATATCCATAAATTAATTTAAAAAAATTTAACGGCACCCAAAGATACATAGTCTAAATATATCATCATCAGATCTCAAAATACCCAGTAGTCAACCTGTCGTGGGTTTAGTAAACCGGTTCGGTTACCGGAGGTGTGTCACTACGCATGCGTGTGGTAATCACGGCACTTCACAACAAGTCATAAAACGTTATCATTGCAGTCGTGATAAAGACAATAGAGTACACTTATGTTCCAACATTACGTCATTGGGACGAGATGTGCGTTTTCTTTAAACAGTTATCTCACTAATATTATATGTTATGCGAAAGATTGTGAGTTTCTGTGTATGTTTGTTACTTAATCACATCACAATGAGCCGCAGAGGGCTTAACGGGCTGCCGGGGCTCCAGCTCTAAGCGCAGGAGTAGGATCGGGGTGGTTATTAGTCAGTAAAAGTCTGATACTCCCTCTCGCCTCACCCAGGCGGGAGAAGTGATAGCAAGATTTTCCCATCTCAAAAAAAAATCAAATCACAATGGCTGAAAAGCCCTCTATGAAATTTTAAACATGGATAGATTATAGTCTGGAATTACCCATAGGCTGCTTTTTACCCCACGGGAACGTGGGTGAAGTCATAGGTAGAAGCTAGTCCTTAATAATTTAAACTATAATTGTTTTCGACGCAATTTTTGTACAATATAATACTTGCATAGTTCATGAAACGGTTAAATGGTATTATAGTACCAAAAAGGTACTATGAAACTTGTTGTTCATATCCAACCACTACTGCCAGACCCACAGTAGACATCGTCACTTTACTTAACTGTTTACAGGCGCTTGCTTGGTTTCTATTATTATCTACTCCAAGCCACGTCTAGTCCGAAATTAATCGATTCAATCTGTAAATGCGACCTGCCCACTACTAGAAAAGCTTGCGTATAATTTGTATAATAACTTTCATGAGACATACTAAATAAATTAATATGTTTGCGACTTACACACGTAATAATTTGACAAGGAATTCGACTAGTGTCAAGCCATGCTAGAGGCTCATAATCTTGGCTTGAAACTAGTCGAGATCCTCGTCAAATTATTACGTGAGTAAGCCGAAAACATAATAATTTGCTTATAATTTGATCAAAATAATTAAAACTGCAATCGATCCAAACGGAATGCCATTTATCTAGGAACTAAGGTACCACTCAAAGATCACCTACCATGACCTATCACAATGACTTTACAACTAAACAAACAAAAAATAACACTTTTTGTCGCATTACTGAACTTGACGGAACATTGAGAATTATTTCATCAAACATTTACTTTAGTATTTCGTGTAAAACAAAGAAAATGTATCAATAACAACGTCGGTACTTGTGCCTATAAATGTAACATGGTTGTGTGTTTTAGAACGAATCAATATGTGCAGAAGGATTACTCAGTCAGCTGTGATAGGACGCGTCGGGCGCGTGATGCCTATCATACTGTCATATTTGGTTTAATTTAGTAACGACATACATAAAATTACATTGGGTATTACCCCAAAGGGTACATTGAGACCGAGTTATTTAAAACTAGCTACTTCCGCGCGGTTTCACACGCTCTGCTCAGCTCCTATTGGTCGTAGCGTGATGTTTTATAGCTTATAGCCATCCTCGATACATGCACTATGCAACACAAAAGGAATTATTCAAACCAGACTTGTAGTTACGGAGATTAGTGCGTTCAAACAAACAAACAAAAAACAAACTCCTCTGCCTTATTTATTAGTATAAGATTAACTCATACATACCTTTTTTTTAAGTATGAAATTTGACTGTAGAATTAGAAGCATCACTGTTCCAAACTTATTCTACTGCTAAACAAAAAAAGTAATTTAGATTGTCATAACTATTTCTAAGACCCGAACATAGGACCCATAGCGACCTCTTTACCAACAAGTCTATTTAATCTTCTTCACATTTAAATTATTTTTCTACAGCGTACCTTCTGCGTATTATTCTGTTATATCATGACTCTCGTTGACTGACCGCGGTAATGTTTATTGTACTTCAACCCGCGGCGTGTGATGTGCTGTGGCGTGGGTAATGTCATAACACATTCTTTACATTTTGACAGACTGTGCTCCGTGTGTGTGCGTGGTTATCATAGTTCAAATGTAGTATGATTTGTAGCGCGATGTTTGGAGATTTCATTTTTTTATTGTATGTACTTCCTATTTTTTCTAGAAGCGTTTATAGAATTGACTTGATTTTATAACATACACATTAAATCCCGTTGGATTTGACAGTTATACTGGTAACTTAACAAACTTTACTTTTAATTTAAAAAGATACCGAAGAATAAACAAATAAGTATGATCATTTTTATATCAAACCTCAAAACCTCATTCCAGACAGAGTTTCAGCTCCCTATGAGGCATCACTTAAACGTATCAGTGTTAAACCGACCGACATTGACTTCCTGTAAAGACCTTAATCATGGGCCAATAGAAAACCTGCAAACTGCGCGATTGGCGCCGTGGCTCAGCAACCAGCTGCCGCGCAACGTGCAGCGGGTTCGATTCCCGCACAGGGCACTTTTTGTGTGATCCACAAATTTTGTTAAGTTGTTTCGGGTCTGGGTGTCATGTGTATATGATATTGTATTTTTGTAAACGCACTTACGATACAGGACAAAATCCTATAGTGGGGCAACGTTTTTTTTGAAAAAAGAAACAAATGAAAACCTCTGATAGAGAGAAAATCTTGTCGAATCCTTATATAGCTACAATAACAATGTTATTGACATTTCCACAAATAACTAAACGACATCAATAATGACACATCAGTTTCATATCAAAGAATACAACAAACATAAATCTGAGACAACAATACACAGACTATGTGTATTGTTTGTGTACAGATAAATATGTACAGACATCACCTGTTCCTATCATACACATACACATTATACATAATATTACTGAATTACACAAACAATGCGAAGCCTTGCAATTTCCACTTAAATATTTAGTTTGTGACGATAACGGTTATGTAAAATAAAGGTACTATTATACATGTTTCTAAATAGTACGTTAAAAGACGGCCTAATGAGCATGCTCGAAAATGTTCTAAAAACGAACGCCAGTCTGTTCGCACACATGCCTGAAATGAACATTCTAATTTTGAGCAACATTCAGATAGATATGCAGGGTGAAAATCATCCAATGACTGCTCCCGCCTTGGGTTAGGCGAGAGGGAGTGTCAGACTCGTACAGTCTAAAAACTACCCCGTTTCTACTACAGCTCTTCGAGCCGGAGCCTCGACAACCCGTTAGGCCTTCTGCGGCTCAGTATCGGGATGCTTTCGAACTTGAAATTAACACATGTAACACTACCTTAACTGCAGTTGATTTGCTTGGGTGTTATCGGTACTATTTTAGTTAAATGATAGACTATCACGTCTTTCATTAGAAGGATGCGATTGAGGTGCGCTTTTTTAGTGGAACAGCAAATTTTAAACAGTAATGTTATAAATCCCATAAATATGATGGCACAAATGCAATGGGGGCTACGGTATATTTGGTCAGCAGAGACCCAAGCATGAATAAGGTTGGTATGCTAGTTACTCGTACTTGGCACTCAGATACCGCTAAAGTGAACCTTTCGTTTTTCATCCAATAAGGAATTAGCTAGTTTCACATTATAAAAGATGATACATCTACCAAACATCCAAAACTAAAACAAAAATTCAAAACATCTCACATTCACGGAACTCCAAAAAATGTACACAGAACATTATCAAAAACAAATTAGCCTCTTGTTTACTAGATACCTGACCTGTTTTGTATATGAATCATAAAGTCTTGTGCAATTTCAGTAAAATTAAACTATAGTCAAAAACAAGCCGAAGTCAATAACATGTTTGTTAGTCCACATTACGCATTTACCTCTAGAATGGGCAACAAGCCAGTAAGACTTTATTATGATGTCAATTCAAGAGAAATGGGTCATATAAATTAGGTTTCTACTGTGCACATTTTAAGCAAAATTTAAAAATCTTTGCTACGTCAGAGGCCCTTCGTAGCGTGACGTAGCATGGCGTAGCACCTCGTAGCACGACGTAGCAATCGCGTAGCTGTTGCTGTGAACATAAGAAAATGGAGAACAAATAGTTTCAACTTATTTTTTGTCAATCTAATTCCTGTTTCATTTGGTTTCTGTCGTCAGTTTATAGCTTGCTGCTGCACAAACCAAAGAACGGTTAGAAATGTTACTGAAAGTCAAAAGATAAATTATTTTTACTAAACTGCCTGCTCCTACCTCTCCATTAAATTCTCTCTCTTACTTCCAGGTATGATCTCCTCAGCGATGCTGTGGGGATTCCTGTCAGATACTCTGGGGAGAAGACAGATCATGGTGTGGGGATTCTTCGGTTCTGGTCTGATTGAGATAGCGGCTGCCATGAGCCAGAACTTTGCTATGTTGCTGGTCACCAGGTTCGCGAGTGGTTTCCTGTGAGTATCTCTTCATCGTCATATAATTAGATCTTTTATTTAACGTCAGAGATTGCCGACAGATAGAAGGTATACAGAAATTATCCGATTTTGTCTAATACTGCCCGTAATATTCACACTTTATGTTTCAAATGATTAAAAATATCATTTCATGGATAGTATTTATCGGTAACTGAACTTGAAACTTAGTGCTAAGTAGTAGATATAATAAATTGCCTTCTACGGTCAATGGTTCTGACTAAACACTCTTTACCAAACTCTAAACAGTTTTATTTATATTTCTCTATTATTAATGAATATCGGCTAGACTTAGTTATTGCTAAAACAATTAAACATTTCACATTACGATACTTGGCACAATAGTCACATTAAATCTATTTCTACTATAATTAAACATTTAATTGTAAGTGGTCGTAAAACTTAATGAAAATAAGAGAAGGCAGAATATAAAAACTGTGTGTTGTAAGTTATTGAATAATGAAACACTCATAAAACTTTATGGCATTAGATGAAATGAGGTAAATTACTGAATTTTATCAAAAAGTCTTAGAAAACACGGTGTTTCCATATTTATAATATTATAAAAAACATTAAATTATGAAGATGTTTCTAAAGTTAAGCCCTTGACTGCCAACAGAAAACTGTTGAGCATAAATCCTCTGCTATCGTGGTTCAAGGTGTTAATGACATATTAAAAACGAACGATACCAAACGTAGATACTATGAAATTTGATAAAAATGTTATTACAGGTATATAAAAATTTTTATATCAGTCACCAATGAACTCCTTCTTCCAGCTTCAACGGTCCCTTTGCAGTCCTGATCTCGTACCTAGCAGAGTTACACAGAACGGAGTTGAGAGCCCGCGTGATACTGCTGACCAGCCTTTTCTACACCTTCGCCAACACCACCCTGCCGCTCGTGGCCTGGGCTATCCTCACCAAGGACTGGGAGTTCAGTCTCTTCGGAGGCAGCATTAGTAAGTACAATTTTGGCAAAAAATAAAGAAACTTGTCCTTTAGTAATTAACTAAAGTTTCTTAGTACAGCACATTTATCTCTTAATGTTCTGCAACGCTCTTGTAATTTTTCTGGTGTTCATACTGTTATATAAGTATCTGATTATTCACTGTCTGGAATTGTGCTCGGTATATGGCAATAGGCTCACCCCCTATTACATGGGACTCATAACACAAATAGTGAAAAGTGGTTGTTACATTGTACAGTGGTAAAGGTGCACATTTACCTTTCCCTTAGAGGATAAAAGGCGTGATGTTATGATATGTCCATTCACAGTGTTGATCACAGGTGATCTGTTTTCGTCCAGTCTCATATAAAAATCTTCATGCCATTACATTCCCAAACATGGTTTGGCATCTGAAATTGTAGTTAGTATTTGATAACATACTAAAAGTATTTAATGAATTGTATGTGAGAACGAGAATCAAGAATAAATCACCATATAAATAATCTCAACATCATGGGCTAAATTGTTCATCTTTACTCTCCAGTAATCCATTCCTGGAACATATTCCTGTTCACGACGGCGCTGATGCCACTCCTGACTGGACTGTTCTTCCTCTGCCTGCCAGAGAGCCCCAAGTTCCTCATGTCCAGGGGGAGGAATGAAGAGGCCATGGCCGTATTCAGGACAATATACAGATTGAATACTGGGAAACCTGCTGAAGAGTACCCGGTAAGTGAATGACATTATATTTAGCATCGTCACACAATAAGCGAACAAAAATGTAATATACCTTGGAAAAGCATTGTAAAATTCGTGAACGTTGCTTGTTACTTCTAAGTGTTTATTTTTTGTGAAACAACATAACTTGAAATGAGCAAAGCATCGGATTTTTTTACGAATGAAAACATACTTACTAAACATTATTTAAATAAACCCAGGTAAAAGTCCTAGTAGAAGAAAAGAACGAACAGCAGGGACAAGGGATGGCAGCACTGAGAGGAGGCTATGCGCAGCTTGCCCCACTGTTCAGACCTCCTCACGCCAAGTGGTTGTTTCTCATCAGCACCATACACATGGGCTGCATGTTCGGGTAAGTACCTATTCCTCCAGTTCCTAATCTGTGGGCCTTGCAAAATTTCTTAGGTAGTAATAGTAGTATCGCTGTAGTTCAGCTCGTTGAGTAGGTAAAATAAATAAAATTCAACATCAAATTAAAAACGTACTGCTCAAGTAATAAAATATAAAATATTAAAACAGTCTCCATACTCGAGCCCGTTCAGAATATTAATATATCTCCACCCAAGTTATCTGACACACATTCTTAACACTCTTCTATAAAATTAAAGCATTCCAGTTCGTGCTCAGTATATGGCAGATATAAGCAGACACTTCTGACTGCCTGCCAATAAACGGGTCAATGTTCGGTTCCCGTGTGGTTTCAAGCGGTTAAGACAGAACTATGTTACACGCTCATCTTGATTAATGATACCAGTCATCATTACCTTAGCCAATAATTAAACAATGTGAAATATTAACGAGAGTTATACTGTTTTCGATAATTGATTGTCCTAACTGACGGCAGCTTTGGTTCCTAAAGCGGGCATCGTGATAGCATGACAGTTTCGACGTTCGTTGTACCTTACTCAACACCACCACCAACAGGTGGTGTGAGTATACCAATGAGTGATGAATACAAATAGTTACAATTTGTATAGTTAAAATATGTAAAAAAAGACTGCACGGTTGGCACGGTGGCTGGGCAACTGGCTGCCGCGCAACGTGCGGTGGGTTCGATTCCCGCGCGGAGCAACTCTTTGTGTGATCACAAATTGTTGTTCGGGGTCTGGGTGTCATTATGTGTATGTCAACTTGTATGTTTGTAAACTCACCCACGACACAGGAGAAAATCCTAAGTTTACCTTTGTTTTAGGCTTATTGGTCTAATGTTAAATGTTAGTTTAACAGTAGTTTCATAAGATCGGTCACCAATCACCTAAACCCACATCTTGAATCCACAATCACGAGATTGTGTGCATTCAAGACGTGGAGTAAGAACTCCAAACCGACAAACACAACCTTCATTTGTTTTTTTCTGTCCATTTATCTGTTTATCCTCCATATACTATTTTCACATCAACCATTTACCTTTCAGTTCCAACACCATCCGTCTCTGGTACCCTCAACTGGCAGCAATGATTGGCAACAACGCGAAGGGTCTCTGTTCAGCCATTGCTCCATCCGCCACACATGCAGTAGCTGTGGACGAGATCTGTGTTCCTATCGTGGCTGATATGCTGACATACCTGCAAAGTGCTGCTGTCGGAGCAGGATCTGTGCTGACCTATGGAATTGGAGGTGCTATTGTCAATAGGTAAGATTTATTACATCAGTTTTTTTATAGATTTAAGAGGTATCTTGAGGTGAAATAGTAATATGGGCTTTTCTATGATCGTGTATCATTATTATTATTATCAGTATTAATTTTTGTGTTGTGTTACTGGATATTCTGGTTAAAACTGTTTTAGCACAAGAACCTTTATGAAAATGGAATTTCTAAAATATTAATCTAGTTTTCTGCAACACTTTTTGACAAAAGAAGAATCAAATTTATATTTCTTTTAACTTTCATAGATGCGGTAAACGTCTAGTCTCCGGATTCTGTGGCGTCATCAGTGCCTGTCTGATTATCATGCTGCCATTCTTGGGTACCAGCGCGTACGCAGTGGTTGCCATGGTAACCTCTGCGCTTGCCTTCACCTCACTCTGTGGTGCTTCGCTGTCCAGCATCACTGTGGACTTGTTCCCGACGTCACTCAGGTAAAATACAAATATAAAATTCCTTATACATGCTTATAAAATTCACAGGAACTCTTTTTTTTCTTGCCTTCAGAGGATTTGTTCATCAGTCCAATGCCCGATAGTTCGCATTAGTTCTATTTATTTCATACTTAATTGTCCATTCGGATGCTAAATACAAAAATAGTAATTTAATGTGCATAGTGATATTATATAATATAATATCATATAATAATAGAGTTTATCTTTTGCAGAGTAATGGCAATGGCCACATTCCTGATGTGCGGTCGCCTGGGCACCATCACTGGTACCGTCATCTTCCCCGCACTCATAGACTACGGATGCCTCCCGCCTTTCATTACCATTGGCTCCGTATTAACTGGTGAGTTACAAATTATTTTTTTCTTAATAAATAACTTGATATTAGATCGAAAGGTTTGAATCAATGTTTCACTAATTTTACTTGTGTAACAAAATACCAATATAACGCCATCTGCTGGATTAATGTTGTATGTACTGGACCATACAAATTTGTATGACATCCTACGTTAAGTGGCGCTCTCTACACAAAAAATTATCAACTGCTTTACATAGTGCGCCCTCTAAACTTTAATAGCAATTATTTTTTAACTCACCAGCCAATAGAAATGCTTCTCCAACACGCCACACGATATGGTGCGCGTATACATAACTAGATGGCGTTGTTCTCAACTTCGCTAATTGATCTATTTTTGTTCCAGTGTGCGGCCTGGCGTGCTTCTTGCTACCAAATACTACTCTTAAGAAATTAGAGTAATTTGCGTTTATTATAAGCGAATGACGAATATGACTGTAAATAATGTATTTGTTCTGTTGTTTTATGTATGTTTATACTGTTGTTTCTATGTGCAAAGTATTTATTATGATTATGTATTTAAAGACAATGTCATAAGTGTAAGTTAAAAAGAGTGGATTGACTTAAATCATTTTTATATGTTATTTTGTAATTTCATGTAATGTGTAATTTAATGTTATGTAAGTACCTAAGTAAATAAATTGGTATAAATAGAAAAAAGAATGAAACTGCGGAAGTTTTAAAAATATTTCTCTTTTATTTATAATTTATCATAATCTAATTTCATCCATCTTTTCAGTCAAACTCACAACAATTTACCGGCGAATCAGGGAGAACAATTACTATCTACATTATTCAATTTTATATTATATTTAGCTTTTGACGTTTTTTTAAATATTTTCTCAAAAAAAAACAGACCAGACCACTTGAAGATTTTCCAATTATCTTTTTAGCTATTATGGAACATGATGAGAATAATATTACGAAATTATGTTATTGCTGAATTATGAAGTTAAAAATAATTAAAAATACGTCAAAACTTATTTCGTTTAAGGCGCTACATCAGTCTAATGCAATGACTAAACAGCTTTACCCCGAAACATTAATAAATAACTCATAATTATGCTTTTGTGACTGCATAAAATACAATTTATTGTGAACAAGCTGCCATTCGCATTATTTACATGATTTTTTCAAAAAAACAAATGCTACAGATTTTTTAGTACAATGTTATTGCACAGTGATTGTTATAGAAAAAATTGTAGACAAAAAAGTTTGTTGATTTAAATAGATTTTCCTTCTCTTTGGGTCTAAAATTCATTGTTGATTTATTATTTATTATCATTGTACTTAAAAATCTTATAGAAAATAGACGTTTATAGTCTAAAATGGTCCAAACTGGCCTGACTCACTGCTGGAACAGAACGAACAAGCACTGTCGCTACATAGACTAGATTTTATTTCTTATTGTCCAATCACTTTGTCTAAGCGATTATACACTTAAATTCGAGGATTTACGCCTGCCCACCACTAGGGCGTAACATACATCCTGAAAGATACATTTCATAATTTTGTTCAAATTTTTCTTCAGCCAACGTTACGCCGTAGTGGGAAGCAAGCTTCACAATAAAAATCATATTATATAATGTATATATATGTATAGAATTCTTATAGGCCAGTGAAATTGACTGTTTCTTACATACGATTCAGGATAACCCGATTATTTAATATTATTATTCCATTATAACGCAAGGCACATTTTTATCTGTCATTAAAACTATTTAATTCAATAAGATTGCACTTTTACAAAAGTATTATATCGGCAGATCTTTCTTTAAACTTAAATTGTTTAAAACTCTAAGCGAATCCATGTTGCTCCCATAACTCACAAAACTGAGATAATTACGATCGATTTTGAGACATTCCTTATAATAATGCCATGCATATAAAAAGGTTTATATCGTTGCCAAGTAATTAACTAATTTTCTTGGTCCGATGGTCGAATTCGAATTCCTATAACAGCACGCTTTTATACCCATGGAATATTATTAAAAATCTCTCAAAACACTTTGATTTTTCCACTTGACGTCAATAAAAATGCTTGTCACACAGCCTTTTTCACTTTAAACGAATTCTCCAATACAAACGTTGTGTCAAATTATATTTCCATTATGTATACGTACGCTTTTGTAAAAAAAATGTTGAAATTATAGACTAACACTTAAATAGTTACATGCTAAGGTAAGGCATATTCCATAATTATAAATAATTAATTACAAATATTTATAGTACATACATGTAACACTATATATACAGTCTCGCATGTCTTAAAGCCGAGTTTATACAATATGTACAATTTTAGAAAACTTGTATAGATCACTATACTCCGCATCTAAGGCCTCAACTTTGATAGGACTTGTGATACAAGAGAGAAATCTGAGGGTAGCTGAACTAGTTACTCCACAACTAAATTGGCTAGCTCCAATCTAAGAGAGTAGCTAAAATGGCACTTTCAAAATGGAGTAATGAACTGGTGTGAATGAATGAACAAGAATGTCGATAGGATGGGAATGATCAATATTATCCTCCTCAGATTTGTCCATTACATCATGAATCCATCAACAACACCATCGTACATCGCATATAACCTGCACTATTTACATTATTATGGTAATTGTCAAAAATGACTGAATAAAAAAGTACACATTCTGCCGTCTTGGTACTCTCGCGCGCAATATGGAGCGAGAGTAACAAGCAAAGTAAGGGTAGACTAGTCTTATATAAGTCTCTTAGAAATATCCACGGCATAATGGGTAATAATTTAAGTAACAAATCCATAATGATAACAAAACAATAATGTACCATTATTCCCAACAAGATGTATAAAAATCACCCAGATCCGGGTTCTAATAATTGTGCAACGCACTGTACTGTACACTCGAGGCCCTGAAAAATTGGTCAGCTAGGGAATAAAAACAATTTTGTTTCTAAGTATTAACTACTTCATAAGTATCAGTGTATATTTAATGCTCTAATTTTTAGAGGGAATGAGCAGGTTCCCTATTTCTTGTTTTATCTCTAGATGAAGATTTTTTCATGGCAACGAGTGTACAAAATAATAATGTCCATTAAACAAAACTTCACTGAGTTCATTAGAAAATGTTCACTTCACTTTTGGTCCGTTTTCCACTGTTTTAAGTTCATAATTATGTTTGTGTGACTGTTTGCTTTGAGGGAACTGAGAAAAATTATACGTAATGGTGATTAAAGTAATCTGCTTTTGAAATCGATGTTAACATGACCTATTTTATCTGCAATCGTGTTTTACATTATCAGCTTTGGGCAATCAGCACACCGCGGGGAGTACCCGTGGGTTTAAGTAATAGGTACTCAAATCTCTCAAAGCTAACAGCCACACACAATCCACTGCACTTTACTGGCGTCAGCTTGGGGGTGCAAGCAATACCTCCAGCCAACATGGACACGCCGTCACATCCCGCCTCGAGTACTTAGGTCCCCAACCTTTTGCGAACGAGATCCTCACCGACCTTGGGTCTACAGGGCCAATGTGGGGTAGGGAGATCGCTGGGGGTGGACAAGCAGGGTCGAAGATACAGAGACAGTGGCCTGGAGCCACCCTCCACACTAGCATGGCCTTGGCTGCAGCAGCGTCCAGTGCTGGTGAGCTGACGAACACTGGCTCCTGGCTGCGGTTGTAAAGCCACACCCCGTCCGATTCCAGTGACAGGGTGACACCTAACCCGATCTTTGCTCTTGTTTTCTTCACCTGAAATAGAAGAAATCCATGTTTTATTATTGCTGATTATGCACTACTGTTTACTGCACATTCCTATCTGAATATCTTGTTCAAGATAAGATTAGATTAAAAGTCAAAAGAAAGGTGAACACTGTTTTATAATGATTCGAGAGAGTGGGATGCTCTTGTCTCTATAGTAATTATCCTTATCGCTTGAATTTATCTACTATCAGAGCTCGCTAGGACTCGTAAAAGATAAAATCCTGTTCAAACCAACCTCGATTTTAATTATTAACGTCAGCGCACTTCTGCAGCGTTTTAGTGAATCATAAATTATTGCATCATCGATCAAGCTAACGAACGAAATCAGCCTCACAATTAAATCTAACTTACTTAAAAGTATTTTTCAAATTACTAGACAAACGAGAATTTCTAATTATACAATCAAAATCTAAAATATTTCCGTTATCACCAGCAGTTCACAACAGGACATAGGCCCCTCATACACAATTCTATTTAAAACTCGAAGTATCACTTTTGCTAAAATCGTTGAGAATCACTAATAATATCGCGTTAAGTCCCACAAAGATTGTGTTCGCGTACGAGAGGTTATCTGGGGTTATCACGTCGCCTTCCTACTCTCAATCAATGTGGCTATCTTCTGCCATTGTAATCGCGAACACTTTCGAGCTTTTGATTTTAATTACTTGTTTCAAATCTTATTTTATAAAAATTAACTAATATATCGGAATATTTTTTTAAAAGCCTGCCTTGAATGTTACATAGTTTAGTAGATGGTTCAAAATGACACCAACCTGATCAGCCTGCTGTCCATCTACCCTTTGGTCCAAGGCATCCAAGCACAGCCCATGTCTCCCAGACCCACAGGCCCCTCCGCCCCCACCGAACACGTCTACTGCCCTCAAACGGACACCGAACTGACGACCCACGCGCTGGGTCAATTCCCAATACGCGAGCCGACACCATTCTGAATCCCAGCTCTGGCGTTCTGGAAAGAAGAGGAAGAAGAAGGTAATGAAACATCTGGGTCTTACAGATTTATAATCACTGGTATAGATTTTAAAGGCCCTTAACTGTTCCAATGTTTAAACAACCTGATTGTAAGAAGATTCATAAATTTCTGAAGTAGTTCATATGCTACAAGCCTAATTCAAACAATACCACATTAACTGACTACTGGTAGAAATCCAGATAGTTCTATCCGTTTCAATGCCTGACATCACTTTTCCAAAAACTTGGCTCTGCTAAACCATTCGATGCCAGCTGACGAGCATCGATATATTCGGACAGTTTAGTTAACCAGTAACATAACACCGCTAGTGACGAAAACCTATTGTTTTAAAAACTACAAGCCATTGCCAAAAGTTCAAGAAAATCTTTCCTACAAGTCAAAGTGATGATTTTTGCATCCGATTTGATGAAGTCATTGTCGTTTCCAAAATAGATGATGCTGTTTGAAATCGTGATGACATAAAATCACCAAATGAAGAGGTGTGTAAGTAAACAACACTATATAACAGGACTTCAATTGAAAAAAGATTTAATAAAATCTAATTCATGGTAATCGATGAGTCTAGTCGCACTGTCCTTGGTGTTACTTAGTAATACAGTATCGATATACTATACTATACTATATTATAGAATTAAATATTAATGAATAAAAAAGTATTGGTGTTACTACGGTCTTTCCAATAAGCAGTAAAACTTATAACCAATGAACAATCCCTAGATTAGGTTAAACCACATCGTTAATATTTATGTATTTCAAAATTAAGCACAAAAATTTTTTCCACCTGTCAATTAAGATTCTAAAAAGAAATCTAACCCATAAACCAAACACCACCAACAAGATCAAGATGTACAAAATAAATATCAAAATACTATTCAAAGGACATCAAAATACATTCCAAATAGTGGTATAACAATACAGAAATTTAGTAAACCACAAAACCCATTGAAATCCCATGATATTAGCCAAGACAATACCATCACCGTTCGATCCCACGGCGTTTGTACTGGCGCCGTGGTATGGGGTGGCGCCGTCGTGGCGGGCGCGATCGATCGTCAAGGTTACCGCCATCAGACATGGGTTTGGGACACCACTTAGCTAACTGGTGGTGTTTGCGTGGTGGGATCTAAGTACTGGTTGACGTGGGATTTGTTTAATAAATGGCTTGTGAACTACTACTGTGCAATTTTTGCAATGAGAAAACATTATAGGTGTTCGTCAATTCTGCAAATACCTTAATGGTGATGGAAATTATCGTCTTTGAACTTATTATTTCTATCATTGAGTACCTACTCAGAGGAGTAGCCTGCCTGAACCTAGTGAGGTTCCTCTAAAGTAGAAATTGTCTTTTAACCATCCGATGAAATAGTTCTTTTAAATTATTAAACTGATGCTTATTAAATTCTTCTGCAATGTTAGTAATCACAAAGCAGTAAATCTATCAATTTTCTATCAAATGTTATTGATGCTACTGATAACTCCATATCCGTAAATGACCCTACTATCCTAGTTTCTTCTAATTTGCTTATTTCCTATCTACAGCGTGAAGAAAATCAGACTTATAGTTTCTTCAGACCCTGCAAAATCAAGGAGATTTTTGGGAGTATAACTGATGAGATATTTACCTTCACCGTCAGTAGCCAGGGATCCTGAGACAAGCCGCTCATGGTCCGTCCTCCGGGCGTCCTCTGTACTCTCGCCATGCTCTGAGAACAAGAGACACGAAGATATCAGTATGATGCCACTATTTCTGGTCAGCTGAAAGAAGTGCACAGAAAATGTTGGTAAAAAGAAGAAAGAGATGAGAAGAGTTTTGGCTATTTGACATTTACACTAAGAATAGAAATCAATTTTATTTTAGAGACAAATATTGAAGTTAAATGGGTCATTTTATAGGTCGAAACCAATTATTTATATATTGTATAGTCATAATTTGCAAGCAATATAGTTATTGTAAATTTTCCCTTTCATTCCCTAAAAGTGATATAAAGCAGTTCACATAACATCCACTTTTCGCCGGTTACGAGTCTCATGTAATGGGGGGCGTGTACACCATTACCTAAACTGGACATCGAACGAACATTACAAGGTCCACTATTATCTCTGTAGAAAATAGACCATTACGACGTTAAAACTTATTTCCCACTAGACATGTATGGACAAGCTTCTAGACCATTAAAAAAATAATGGCGGTCTTTCTGACAGGTTTGAGAGTGACATCACAGCCTGCACTCACACATACACAGCCACTCCTATGTAACATAATTTATTACATACATGTACGATATCATGTTTTGAGTGAGAGTGACAATTCAATTTGGATTTTTTGGGGTCCTTGGAATGATGGAGAAGCCAAGATATTGCGTTTGTCACTGTTAAAGTACTCCAAGTTTTGTGTCCTGTTAAGTCTGTTATATACTCCAAAACTTCATGTCAAGTTCACAATGAAGTTGTCTATCAACTTATTGATTATTGCAGATCCAGGCTCAACATAATCACGATTAATTAATCAAATATTCACCACATAAAACCCTAGATTAACAGTAAGGCGTGCCATAAATTATCATGCATATATTTGTATTTATAACGTTGCACATATTTTAATTTTAATTGTACTATGGCGCCTGTACTCTAAAACATAAATAGTTAATACAATAATAGATTTTATATCAATGTACTGAAGTACCGTCACGCCGTTTACTAGTGAGGTGAGCAGGTCTCAAGGGTAGCAGTAGTTGGCGCCGGTAAATATGCGGATACAACATAAATGGAATGAAATGATGGTATTATTGACTTCCGACAGATGTAAAGGGCGATGTTCTTGGCAAATTAGGTGTTGAGAAGGTTGATTAATACTTTTTTGCTATTGTTCGACACGTTTGGCTTTTTATAATTATTGACTTGGATTTCGTTTAATATTGCTGTATAAAAATGTGTCTGGTGATGATGGCGGTAATTGCGACCATTTTGGTTTTGAAGTAAAATCAAAATGGCTAGAGCCATTGTCAAAATTTGGTTTTATTGTTTAGTAGCAGTTGTAGAAAAAATAAACTGATATATCTGCTTTTGTCATTTATAAATATGAATTTCCGTAAGGAAATTCAATTTTTAATGATTTATGTTCTTTCACAAGTAAATATATTTAGGTTAGCAACGTCAAGTTAAAATAATCCCTCTATGAAACATAATCTTCAATTTGGTCAACTATATAAATAATGTAAAGTATATAAGCTGTATATCGTGGCCGCTGTGCGTAAGATAGAATACATTAACATATTACCGATCAAATCAAGGCCATATACTAGCCATGTATAATTATACATATTTATATATGTATACACCGACCACTGTGTAATTAAACGTAGAAGGTGAAACGTCTATAGAAGACCTTTTTTTTTCATTAAAACAATGAAAGATATTTTTACTACCATCTTCCTTCCATATTATCTCATCTTTTTCATAAATAATACAAAGATAAGTTCAACTCCAATTTAAATCAATAGACTTTACAACAAGGCTAAACTTGAATATTTTCTAAAACGGTAATAAAGACCGTCAATATGAGTCAGTGCCCGCCTTTATTGCTGTGCCGTCTGAGCCTACTGCCTGCTTCTATCTAGCGGCCCGGCCACACTCGTTGAGAAAGATATCCTATTAAATGAAATTTAATACTTTGCTGTGTTTCTAAGGAGATGAATGTTAGTGCTTGTCCGTGTGTGAGTCAGAACTCTTGTATCTCCATAACTTAAAAGTCGGATCTTTGATCTCTTTCAATAATCCTCACAATACTTCGTCATTGATGGCATTATTTTAAACCATTTCCCCAAAATACCAATACTATTGTGAATTCTAACTTGACTGAGACTTGTTACTGATAAATACACACTAAATCTTGCAACAATACTTAAAGTATCATGTTTTTAAATAACTAAGAAAACTAGAGGAATCTTATACAATAGCTGACAGTCAGCTTGTTATACTTAGCAACACCCATTCATGGAATAACTGACGCAGACAAACCCGCGGCGCAGCGCATGCTTCTCTATTGAGAACTTCGCTCCACGTGTATCGAAGTTTACAACAGTTCGCGCTCCTTTATAACAATATTAAACATTATGTGTATTGTATTATCCCGCCACTGTTGTATATTGTATGTTGCTAACTACACCTCGTGTCATAGTTTTGCACAGCAATAAAGGACGAGTGACAATCAAATTGCAAACAATATTTGACAATTTTAATCTGTCAAAATTAAATATGGAACGCTAAAGATGGCGGAGTTTTGTTAACTTTATATCCAGCCAGTCTTTTGTTTGGCCATTATTCATTATTGTTACATTTCTTGATATGTTTTGTATTTAAGAGTATTGTGTTAAAATACGAGTCAATGGATGTGAATCAGAATTATTTTTCTGCTTAAAACTAATGAGACACACGACAGATCCTAATTTTACTTCACTAAAATGTCTTTCAGTATTTAGACATAAAACTTTACAAATTAAAAACAAAATAACACCTAAGCGCATAACCTCAAAGAAATGTCAAACAAAAAACTAAATTATCTTTAATAAAAAGTCTAAAAACCCTTCAAACGACGGCCCTATTATAAAAATTACTGCAGCATACTTCTTTAACCCCTAACTACGCTTAACAGGAGAAATATGTTCTAAACATTGTAAGTAATATGTTCATAAGAAAAAGGCGAAAGAATTCAAGTATGCGGCCTGATAGGCGAGACTCCCGCCGAATAGTAGAAAGCTCAATGACACCGCTGTGGGGTCTTTTAGACCTCACGACAGGGTAACGACTGAAAGAATTGTGGACGAAGATAATTAGTGAAAATGTTTCAGGTGTTTTATTAAAAATTTTTTTTGGAATAACATTTTTGGCTTTTATTGTTATGGAAAATTATTTTTTTATTAACGTTTAGTACTTAGTTGCTATTTGGAAATGGGGATGATAATAGATTAATGAATATTTGGAAGTTAATGGCATTTTCGGTATTACATCGACCAAATATTTATTGATGATCTGACTGTCTGTATATTTTATTGAAATGATAAAAACCAATCTTACAGGTTACTGAGAGTAGCAAGTTAAATAAAAACTATTTTATTGGTTTTAAAATGTCCAACAACTCCCTAAATCCAATGATTGTACCGTAAACTTAACGTGCCAAGCATCCCGTTCCGTTCCCGCATCGTTTCGTGTAAGATGCGCATGCGCATGACACAGAAACGCGAGCGTTTTATACGGCTTGTTTACAAGCCGACGCTGCACGGTTCCCGAGTTCGGTTCAACCATACAAACACACAAGTACTTGCGTGAGATGATGCAGTAACGAACACATATCTTACGTTATATTGATCGGATTCTGTGTCTAAGTGCACTAATAATAAAGCTTAAGAGTTGGTTTGTTTCACTACACTTATTTCTAAAACTATAGAGGTGAAACTTAGATGCTTTTAATTAACGGTGCTTCTACGATACTAATGTAAAGAGATAAAACAAAAGACAAACGCTACTTAGAAGACCTTCAGACGAAACTAGTAACACAGAAAGATTTTAATAGCATTTAGATCCATAGTGATTTCCGACTTTACTGTAAAAAGTATTAGATTAAAAATCGATTAAAGCTTTTCAGATTAGAGTACTTTTATCTGCTGGCGCCACAAATGACTCAGTATGATGAAACATGGCTTCATAGCATGTCAAAGCACACACTCCTAGAATGACGTATCTAATTCTCTTAATCAGCTGTTCTATCAATAATGGGTATGACGCTCACCACTTGCGTCTGTAACCAGCTGATTGTGATAATCACGCTATTTTTATATACAATACCATCAAACATACTTCAGTTGAAGTAGGTGTCACGAGCTCATACTATCACCCATATTAATATCTTTGAGAAAGTCAGGACTTTCCATCAAGTTTATTTCGTGATTCATTGGTCATGGTAGAATATGTATGTGTTAGGAAAGTAATATAAAATATATTTTTCGTCATCAATAAACGTTCGTTTGTTTTAAATATCTCAGTAGTAGCACGGAGTCTGGAATTGTGCACGGTATATGACAATAGGCTCACACCCTAATACATGGGACTCATAACATAAATAGTGAAAAACGACTGTTACTTTGTACAGTTGCATTAGGTGCCGTAATGTTAAAATTAGTTAAAGATTAAATTCTTTCATAACAATTTTAAATGTATGTGTGAATGCGTGTGACAATGTTATCATAGTGTAACTTTAACACCGAACTTTTCGCAAATGTTTATGCTCTGAAAATATAAAAGATATAACAAATTACATAACACGATAAGATCAGCTCGATATGAAATTAAAAACAATTCGGATTCAGATTTGAATGTGGTTTTAAACTACAAAATTACATGTAAATTGTAAGTACGTAATGTTTAATTACTTGCATCTTTGCTTACCCCAAAACGGCATAACTTAAACGACACACAGAACGTAAGTGCATATATAAGAAAAAGACAAATACTAGCAGTATATTTGTGTCACCCGAGCGGCGCCGGCGCCTCGATAAACGCAACGATACCGACACGATAACGTTAATGGACACACTCTTTATCACCGCACGCACACTACCACACAATTGCCATTAAACCTACCAAAATAACCTCTCCGCAACCAAAGAACGCACTTCAGACTTCAAAAACAAAGCCCAAAATTGAAAAATCGAATAATCGACACGTAAAATTTACTCTACAGTTCGAAAAGTGACTTTAAAAGTATCAGACAAGGTTGAAAATACCGTGAACGTTATGCCAGATGATTTTAAGGTATGAATGGATTCGGGGAAGTGCGGTAATGGGTCCGACCGGAATGTCAATGTCAGTCCTATCTGGAAAAAGGATGGGTAGAGGTCCCATTCAAAAACAGGATATCAAGGTTCGAACCGTAAGTGGTTTGATATAGCTAATGTATGCCAGAGCTGTTGTCACATTTGTCTTTAAATGTAGTTTGAGGGTTCCGCTATTCGACGAAGACCCTACATTTTCTCAAGTCAGAAAAAAAACAGTAGCATTTTTTAAATTCTGTTCTATGACATCGTCTATCCAAGTACTTAAAGGCAAGAATATTTTTGTATTCTGCCATCCTTATTAGAATTTAGCATTTACCTTATAATAATACTCTCTATTTGGATATCAATGCAAACGAGTTACCACAATAAAAGCTATATCCCACAGCATAAAGCTATCACGCTATTGTTGATTACGAACATAAATTAGCAATATTATACCCGAAGGTAGACCTACGCAGTAGTTTGGTTATCCATCAGTGGATTAGGCACAGCAGCCAAAGGACCTTTGAGGTTAGGCCAGAGATCACTGTGAATGAAACAGGTTGTCTGTTAACCCTAAGATAAATAAGAAAGTTGCAAGAAAACCCATGAAAATCCCCACGTAATAAATCATAGTCCCAATTGAGTCACTGTTAGCAGAATAAATCCTAACCCTTTCAAAGTTAAGCAAACAACACAAGGGATTATGGCACGACAGGCGCCGAAAGCAATGAAAAACGAGGGGTTAGCCAGGAACTATGGGAAATCCTATGATGAACGTTGCGAGGGAATCCCGGCGATAAAGAGCGAATTTTGCACCCCTATGCTTGCATGCATTGGTTGTGCAGGGATTTCCGGGATGACAGCGTTTAACGAGTTACACCCGCAATTAAGGTGATGGAAAAATATGTAGATAACTGGGAAACTTCATTTTCCATAGTGTACACAGCACACAACTTGCTAACGCTACTAATGCCAATGAATGAGTATGGACGACCGCATTATATCGTACTAAAAGATAAATTATCAACAGCTTATACAACTAGATACCTATTAAAACGAATTTTACGAAGCCAAAGACAAAAATCTAATTGGTTTTATTCGTACACATTCATATTATCAACATTAATCCTTTATAATCGTATAATTGAATAACCTATCAGCATTACGAAGCACGTGCCTCTCTCATTATTCATACCGAAATCCCTATTACCGAAAATAATACGGGAACATCAACGCTGGGGTCTTTATTATAAACAAATACCGGATCACCGCGTGGTGCCTTTGAAGGGACGTGGAAAAAACTCAAAAGTCCGTTTGCTGAGCGGCGCAAGCATTAATAATGTAGTTTAAAGATGGCGCTGGAATGCGCGCGCAGGCTGAGACGGTGGGGATGCGCGGGAGTCGATAGTGATGTGCACTTACAAATACCGTAATCTATCATTTATTTAATGTTGTATTTGTTGTTGATTATATTGTTTTAAAGGAAATAAACATACACATTAGTTCAAAATTCTAGTGATATCTGCAAGGCGCACGACCGCAACGGACCCCGCATCTATTAATTACAGTATTTAATTAGCACCGATAAGTGTGTTTGCGAAGTTCGTAGTTATCGCTACCATTATCTGTTTGTATGACAGAAATTACGTAAACATGTGATTTTTGTAACAAACTTTGTGGTTAATTAGCTAGCAATGTGAATGAAGCGATTTTTTTTATATTCTTTAAAATGTGTTCTTGAATGAAGTTTTGTCGAAATATTATCTGGTTTTTTAGATAAAGATGTTAAAGTTTTAAAATATTTTCGTGTTCTTTTTGTTTAATTTTGATAAAAATTAATGTTTTATGATAATATTTTCAGCATTACAACTTCAATACTCGTTTTTAATATCTATATTTAGGACATTTTAAATAAGTAGACGTTTTTAACAACAAATCTATCGATACTTCAAAATATTTACAGCAGATACAACACTAAGCATCCCTAATTTCCAGGAAGCTGCGCCGGCGCCGGTGCGGTCGGATTCCACGATCTACCGACTTTTGTCAGTGACCATCTATGATCTATGATTTTATAATGCCCGCTGTATTTCTATTAGGAAACTGTAATAATATATGGGCTTGATACAGTTATTTATTAGTCCTTCATCGGGCACATGAGTTAAGATTGCAAGGGACATACAATTTTATAGATTTTTTTCTGGTTTACAGAGAAAAATTCTAAGTATTGTTTATAAAAGCCTTAGGTTTACCTAAGACCAGAGATGTGCCATCATTTAAGGTCAAATAAAGAGATTTCTGGTTTATTTTTTTTCATCAACCTAGTCTTGTCCTTCTCCAATATGAGATGCTTTTGAAATAGAATCTCAACACTAGTATGGATATAGTAACCAATTAGTTTCTAGTAAAAATACTTCATTTTACAATAAATAGTAAATTAGGTACTACTTAACTAGTATTCAATTTAAGTTATTTCTTACCTTTAGGTTTGAGGTCTTCCATTGCGTATCGACTATAAGGTGGAGGAGGGGTTTCTGTAAACAAAGAAAACACAAAATTAGTATACATCATTATTTTCCTACAGTCACTTAAACTTAAAATTACTTTACAGTACATTTTCTAAAATTAAATAGTAGCTAGTTCCTTATACATGTATTTCTACTCCAAAGCAATAACGAATTCACAGTTGACCATTAAAGTTACGTGATTAAGTTACATATCAAGTTCCCAAGTTGATTCAACGGAAAAATTAAAAGAGGAATGCAAAAAATCGCTCAAACTTTTTTCAATCACCAGTAATCACCCGCGTTACCCGTCTCGACCGAAAAATAAAAGAAATCCAACTTAAAACAAACAACACGTAACCGGATCAGGTAAAAACGAACCCAGACCGCCCGCAATTATGTCCAACCGTGGAATCGAATCTTGATCACCGACTAAATAATGACTAACCTATATTTTGACCTCATAACGACAATTTTATGTGCCCTTTTCGATCAAATGCCGCTGTCATTTGTGACGAATGTGTAATTTTGGACAATCAAAAAATAGATTTTGACTTAAAACAATGAAGCCGCCCAATATTTTGTGGAGACTAGACGAGACGGTATAATTTCCACATTTCAATAAGTAGGCTGGCTCTGAGAAAGAACCAGGAAAGAACACAAACAAAGTAACGTTAAATAATGTCGTTTGAATCCAGAGCGCGATCTATTCCATTTACGAACAAACAGGCACGCGCTATTGGTCATTTAGAATTTCGTACGCCATTAGTATTTTCAAATTCTGAATGTGAATTGTGCAATTGTCATTTGCAATTCGGCGCCAGGCGGCTGTGGACGTGTCAACATTGTTTTTCAACCGAATCGATGCCGCTGGACATTTTGAATACAAATTATATGACCATTATAATCACTGAATTCAATATATGATTTTATGATGTACACTGTGCGCGCCGTTCTCAGAACTGTTTAACGGCGTTTGCACAAGAAATTTCTAAACAATCAATGCATGCACCTGCATATCGAATGGATGATAAAACTCGGAATTTCTGAAGATCCGACATAAATCATGTGAAATTTTATTCGTTTTTTATTACGTGGTACAATCTTTAAGTGCACTTAAATTCATTTTATTATATTGGAACCGTACGATTTTGTTGACAGCTAGGTACACAGACGTTAAATGTTAGTCGACAGCATCTCAAATAAGATTAAAGACTCCTTTCAGTGTTATGAATATTGTAGCATGAGCTGTATGAGTCACATGTTTTCGACGCACACCCGACACACTGCAGCTGAAAAAAGAGTAAACGATGCAAGAGTAAATGACCCTAAACGCCTAGCGTAGCATCTAGCAGATATAAATAATATTGTTGTTGAACTTTATGTCCATACGAGTGAGCTCAACAACAACCTTGCCATTAACGAACAGCCAAAACAAACTCTAATCTGTCGCGATAAAACTGATATTCAAATCACCGACACCCGTGATATCTCACCTTTTTGCAACAACAAACTATAGCATATAAATATATAGAGAGTGGCGTGACTGAAATTACTTTTACAATTGTTACATCATAAACACCATACATTATTAACGGAAAAAAGACTTTGTCGTGACCGATATAGAGTGCAGTTTCCTAACAGCTTTAATTAGAAATCATTAGTTCATTTGCTTCGAAGCTTAAACTTGCAACGAGTGCAAATTGATTTGTATCGAATGTCGAGGGGCGAGGGTTTAGATTTCAATGTGACGCGGTGGTATATCGTGTTTCAATTATCGAAGGGATTCGTCAATGAAGAATGGATCCTGTACAAATTTAGATAAAGCTTAAATTTGATGTGCACATGAAGGAATGCCGTCTGATGAGGTAGATAAGTATTACGGTAGGCGCGTATGGAGGCCCGGCATGTGTAATTAATCTAAACATTCAATCTATAGCAATAAATACCGTAGGTTGTCAGTTTGTCCTTCGATTACTATGTAACTGGCGAACCGGTCGGCCTGGCCGGCTCCCTCCGCGTCCGCAGCTCTATTCACACTATGTTCTGCAACCAGTATGGCGGCGGCGGCGATAATAAATATCAAAAAATTTATTCAATTGCTTTGATCAGTGCAGGACAGTTAGCCTATTAAATGGTACAGTTATTGATAAGCCAGTTTTCTTGGTTTATTGCAATGGCTTACAACTTTATGCTGGCCGAGTGCAACGCGAACTGATGTTTATTTCTACACTTTAGTCTAGTCATAAAATCGATCTAGATAATCTAAAATTGCTGCAACACTATTTGATCCAGTTACTTTATGAAAATCACCTTTAGTTGAAGTCTCATGAGGTGTGATGGAGAATTTATTGAACGTTCTGCAGACAATTTCAAATCTTTGGATATTTGTTGCTCCATTTTAATCAAAGCTTCCATAAAAGCAAAATCTATGCAACGAAATAAATCAGAAACGGGTATAGAAATAGAGTGGAACGATTTATAAGTGTTGTACAATCGAGCGGCGTAGATGGGCTGGCAAGCCGGCGCCGGCGCACCGCTCTACCAAATTGTAAATATGCACTGATTCATAGTTATGTTTAGAAAATTATTGACTTTGTTATATGGTGGAATTTAATATATATATACATTTGTTTGTGTAGATATTTCTACATTTGTTTTAGGATTTCAGTTTCTGATTATTTTACTGAAGATCTTAGTTGTCGTGTTTTTGTAGTATCAAGACCCTTTATGATCGTCTCAATTTTTTTTCTATCAAGCGGCTTCTTCTCATCGATGTTTACGTGCTGCAGATATATCCAGTCCAAATATTAGTTTATTTCTTGTCCGCCTCAAATTCGCTCATTTTTTTCTCTCAAGAGCCACTCTATGAAACTGCTTTGCTGGTCTGCTCGTACTCTATTAGCCAATGTTCCATAGTCACATGCATGGCCTAAATACTGCCGCTAACTATACCAACACACATTTACATGCTAAATTAACATTTCCTGCGTTAAACATATCTTGTACCGATAAGTTTTGTCATCAATGAGTTCTTCACAATCAGTTTCTCAATACTTCCAAGTTACAATGAAGATTTTGTGCTGATTGCAATTCCACAGAATTTTCGCAAAAGTAATGTTGTTACCCAAAAGACGTCGACCGTCCAGAATAATCCAAATTATGGCTCTTGGCGTCTGTACTGTTTGTGCACTTTGGTTGATATCGGCTCACTGCCTAACTCGCCGCACGCGCGTCCGTCCAGCTTCGTAGTTGCAAGCAAAGTGAGTGAGGGAGGGGGAGTATGCCCCGCTCCCCCACTATACTATAGCGCGCGGCGTGTATGCATGAGACGACAGAACTATATAATTCTACAAACACTACATCTCTTCCTTATTTTAATGAGTTTTAGATATAATAATAAATTTTATTATATTTAGTAACATCTTTATTAATAATAACTTTTATTATATTTAGAACATCTTTATTAGAGCATCATAACAATCTTCTACCTTTTTACTTGACATCACAAAGGTAATGTACTCTTTTAATTTAAAACTATTTTGATCCCCCATTGCCTTTTCTTTTTACTTTTCAATTATCATAATCAACTAAAGTTTACGATTCAGCATAACGTTAATAGCATCAATAATCTTTCCAATATTCTGGTTTTAAGAAACACTGTTAGTAGTAACTAACTAATTTAATTCTTCCTTCACTTCCCAATTAACTTTTTGTTATTAACATCATAACATTTTGCTTGTTCCTGCTTCTAACTTCATTCGCTTTTCTAATGACAATTTATTAAATGAAACTAACATCCTAGTTCTTTATTTTAAGCATAACCTAAATCAAATCAAAATCTATTTTAGTAATTTATTCTTCGTTAGCAAGTTCTAATTCTTCTAGTCCTCTTCTTTTCTATCTGGATCTTCTGTTTCGTCCTCTCTTATTACTTTCCATTCTCCTTCTACCTTTTTTAGGTGTACTATATTTCGTCTCAAACGTTGTCCTGTTTCCTCATTTTCTACCTCCACATCGCCCCCAATTCGTGATTTAACTGTATATTGAGTTGGTTCATAATTTGTACTGAGTTTATTTGCTTTATTCATATCTTTGATATATACTTTCTCTCCTGGTTCTAGGTCAATATCTTGTGCTTTCCTTCTTCTGTCCGCGTACTCTCTTCCCCTTTCCTTCTGTTCTCTGTCCTTGTCTCGTAAGTCCATGTCATCATTTCTATGCTCCACGTCATCGATCATAGGTATTTTATCCCTGATTTTCCTCTGGAAGAACAACTCTGCTGGTGTTTTTCCTGTGACTGTATGGGGGGTATTGTTGTACATAGTCAGATAATCGACTAACGATTCTCTCCAGTGAATTTTATTTTCAGCCTGGCATATTCGTAGTCGTTTCAGTATACTTCTGTTCTGGCGCTCGACTTCTCCATTTTGTTGCGGCCAGTACGGAACAGAGTGATATAATTTTATGTCATTTTCCTTACAAAATGACTTAAATTGTTCGCTAACAAACTGTTTTCCGTTATCTGCCATTAAAGAAACTGGATAACCGAGCCTACTGAAAACTTCCCTTAGCAGTTTTATCATTTCCTTACTGGATATATCTCGACAAATCTTTATTTCTTGATATCTAGAGTAATAATCGACTACTACCAAAAGATAATCGTTGGATGGTAATGGTCCTAAAAGGTCGATTGCAATGTCAACCCATGGATGTGATGGCAATTCTCTTCTTTTCAAAGGGTGTGGTGCATTAGGTACAGACACGAGTGTGCATCCTTTACATGATTTGACCATCTTTTCCACATCTTGGTCGTATCTAGGCCACCACACTTTTGTTCTGAGTCTCGCTTTCATTGCCACGATACCTGGGTGTCCCTCATGCGCCGCTGATAGTACTCTGTTTCGCAATACTTTTGGTATAACGATTTTAGTTCCTCTGAGTAGAATTCCTTCGTGAAAGCAAAGTTCATTTTCAATCAGCTTGTAACATTTTACAGCTGCATCCCACTTACGCTCATGAACACCTTC